TTTGTGGGAGTGGGTAAAGAAGGCAGAAGTCAGAGGGCTCACAGAGCTGCCAGATCTGAGCTTTATGACCTTTTGCTGTAATAAAAATAAGATTTCATGTTAAATTTTCTTTTGGGGGGGGGTGTAGTTTGGTTTTAAAGTGTTTTGGTGGTTTCCACTTACCACCTGTCACTTGTAGCATTTTTAAAGATTTAAATATCTTATTGCTGGTTAACTGAGGTTCTACTGGAATTAAATCATCTAGGTTAATTAGTGTGTTTTGCTTCAGTGGATAATTCTTTTTGTTTATTAAATTGCTTATGTGATTACTTTTGTCTATTAAGGATTCTTAGCACATCCAAAAACTTGGTTTACAACTTAACTGTGGGACTTTTCTTTTTTTGTGCTAAGAGTTTTATTAATGAGAGAACTGTTAGAAAAGAAACTTCAGCGTAAGCACATCGTAGCTGCTGTGATTAGTGGGAACTGCATAGCCTTTTTATAAGTTTAATAAAGATTTGGAAGAGAAATTTCAAGGTGAAATTCTGTATTTTGCTATTACCAGTATTGTAATTTAAGAAAGACGGTATGCATTCTTTTTACCTTGGGGATGCACTTATCTTTTTGATAAGTCAAAAGACTTAATCTGCTGCTTGCTCACTATCTTGTAATTATGCAGGCGCAGTAGTGATAAAACTCTCCAAAACTGTAAATAGGATGTTCTTGATATGTGGTTATGTAGGAAGAGTGACATTTCAATATACTGCCCAGTAAATCGGTGCAGTTTGGGGAAAGTATATTACTGATGTGGATACTTAAGGCAGAATCAAAGCTTTCTGGCATTCTAACACTGCTCTCTGTCTCCACAGGAAAATGTTCATAGGCGGCCTTAGCTGGGACACCACCAAGAAAGACTTGAAGGACTACTTCTCCAAGTTCGGTGAAGTCGTAGACTGCACTCTGAAGTTAGATCCTATCACAGGGCGCTCAAGGGGTTTTGGCTTTGTGCTATTTAAAGAGTCGGAGAGTGTAGATAAGGTAGTGTGCTGTGTGTTCTAATCAGTCGATAAAATATGTGAATAGTTTGATACAATTAATATGCCCATTATTTGATTTCGCTCTTTGTGCTATATGAAGAAAAAGATAATGGTTTTTGCCAATACATTTTTAAGAATCAGATTGAAGAATTGTTTCCTGAATACTTCATGTGCCAGGCTCTACTACATTAAAATTAAATTTAAAAACCTTTAAAGGTGCTTGATTGTAAAGATGTGCTGTGACACATTCACAGAAGTACAGACGTTAAAACCTGTAGGCAGGAAACTTCACTGAATCATTTTACATTTCAGTCTTTACGAGGAAGTAGCAGTCATGCTTATAGTGCTGATAGATAAAGGCATGATGATTTTCTGGTAATTGATTAACCCTTCTCATTCTTAACTGACCTTTAGGTTTAGACACTAGTATGTATTAGCAGATGTCACATCACCATAGTTGGCACTTTGTGAACTGGTCAACATATGTCTGGCATTAGCTATGTTTATTTAACTATAGTTATTCTTAAGTAAGTTAATAATCTCTGAACTTTAGTTAAGATACACATCTTTCAAATGAAAAACTTCAATTTCCTTAGGTCATGGATCAGAAAGAACATAAATTGAATGGGAAGGTGATTGATCCTAAGAGGGCCAAAGCCATGAAAACAAAAGAGCCTGTTAAAAAAATTTTTGTTGGTGGCCTTTCTCCAGATACACCTGAAGAGAAAATAAGGGAGTACTTTGGTGGTTTTGGTGAGGTATGTGATAATATTTTGACCCCCCTTTTTTTTTCAAATATAGTATAAATACAGTTGTCACATTATAGATTTCTCGCTGGGTTCCCAAATTGTTCTGAAGTTTGGATAGACAATGTGATTTGTTTTGAAATAAGGATGGTATAGATACTTTATTAGCAGTATTTTCAGAGCGGTATCTTGGAAGGTTAGAAGACTGCCTGTTCTGGTTTACTGAGGCGCTGTTGTGGGCACAGTGGCCACAGAGACTTTCAGAGTAGAAATTTACTGGATTAGTAGAAGGAATAAAACTGTAAACAAAGAAGAAATCCAGATTGGATTACCTGAGATGTACAAGGAGATGCTTCATTTGAGAATAGGAAAGAAAGAAAATACGGTGTAGTGCCATCTCAATTTAGGTACATGTATATGTGCAGATTTTATGAACCTAATACAGACTTGGTGAGATTCTGTTTGTGAATTAATGATTTAAAGCTGAGAAATTTGAGTCTTTAGACCCACATACAGTCAGCAGACATCGTTGGTATGATTCAGACAAATATATTGTTTGTTTTGTTGTTAGTGTTTAGGAGCTGAAATGCCTGCAAAAATCTGAGCATTTACCTTTTCTTCAATATTTGTAAGATCAAGTAACATTGGGATTGCCTTCTTTGCAATCATCCAACCGTGGCTTGGTTACAGCCATCTTAAGATTTAAGTGTAGCAGCTTCCACTTTCGATTGTTTGAATGTTCTTTATAGTTTTTAGCAGTTCTCACCATTCCTCCATATTCTCCCAAACACAGTTACTTTATTTCT